TAAAAAGTGCCAATATTTGTCTGCTTTTATTCAGCTGTCCCACTCGGAGAGCTCAGGTACAGCACTTAATATGAAGTGGAGATGCATGCCACAGTGCATTACTTGCTAATGCACTTTTGCTGAAAATAACACATTTCCATCTTGTAGTTTGCAAGCAGCAAGTGTTCTCCGCTGTACCAGATCTATAATTCAGAGAGGAGGACATGGCCACGCTAACCCGGCTTAATGAAGCGGCGAATCTGAGCATGACTCGCGCTAACGGAGCGCTTTGTGCATTTTCGGCTTTGAGGCAGAGAAGCCGAGTTATCTCATCAACCACTAGAGCCCAAACATTGACATACACAGTCCAGGCAGACCCAGATAGACGCTCACAAAGCGTCTATCTGGGTCTATTTGAGATACAGGATGTGTCTATACACATCCTGTATCTCAAAGCCTTATATCCCAGGCGATTGGAATAATAGGTCAGGACTACTCGGATATAGGTTCGTACGACATCACGATGTGTGTCCTTCTGAATGATGATTTTAAGTAGTAACATGTTACTAACTGTAACTGGCTATATGAATAAGTCAGGCTGTCACAATCCACACATAAAAGTTGTCGAAAACTGTCTGTAAGATTAATCGTCTCTGTGCAATATATATTTGAAATGATAAGCAGCAAAATGGACATTCATTTGTATGAATAGGCTGCAAATGAGTACTTTAAGAACCCGTAGTGTTGTGTTTCATTTGTCATGAAGCTGCAGTTCGTTATATCAGATCAGTTTCACACATTTTCAGTATTCTATCACGTGCCTGGTGAAAACTGAGAAATTAAAGAGTCTCTACACTTCTTTGCGGAAAGCCGAGTTTAGGGTAAAAGGCTGTCAGCAATAACAAGGTCAATCGGGATGATCAAACGAATAGTCAAGCTATTAAACCTGTTGAGACGAACTCCGCCTTAGGTAAAAAGGTGATGAATTCTAAACGGAGCTCCTGCCAAAACGCCAGAGTGGAGATGAATCCTCATCCTTCACTCTGGTGGTAAACAACAGCCAGGCAGTCAGTTTGTCTGTGAGTAATTGGTTTTCATTATGTTGCCTTTTTCTCAAGCAAAAACCCATTACCTACGTCTTTATTATAAAAATCCGAGGTGTCAATAGCTGTCAAGAGGGGCATTGAGTTACCACTGCTTTTGAAATTTTGAAGTTTCCTTTCTTTGTTTGGTTTTGGGAGGAACAGACCCCACGGTTCATTAAAGAGTCACAAGTTAAAAGGACTGGACAGCTCGCTGGTTTTCAGATTCTGCTGGAGTCGTCGCTCTGCCTGCCTCTCCTCCTTCATCTCTTTCCACTTGGTGTGGATGGTTTTGATTTTGCTTTAGGATAAGAACCTGAAAGGTCATGCTGCAGTTTGTCCTCCTTTTTTTTCCTTTCATACATGTCTTGCTTGTGGCATGCCTCCGAAGCTGTCCATTGTATTTCTCTTCTCTCTGCTCTCTCTGTCAACCTCTTTCATTTCCTTATACTCTGATTCTTGTTTTTTGTCAGGTCCTCTTTCGACCTATTTGGATGAATTCATTCAGACAGAATGCTATTTCCTCTCTCAAAGATTCCACCTCCTCTTTCATCTCAGACATAAAAACAAAAACAAATTCTGTACTCCATCCCTGACTCACCTGTAATCATTCATTTCAGCTAATCACTCCTTCTCGTCCTCAGTTTCTTCAGTCGTCATTAAGCTTGTTTGCTCACTCAACACGCTCGGCAGCTGTGTCTGGAAAGTAGGGACTGAAAAATCATATTACGGGGAACAATTGTCTCTGTCGTGCTTGAAGGATATAGCACTGACGCAGGCACCATCAAAGACTGTCACACATCCTAACTTGCCTTGGTAATACACTTTTCTCACACAAACCTCCTCACACAAGAAACGGAACCAAAAGAAACAAAAGACCCCCTTTTTATATCTCAATCTCGTACATTAACCATGAGGGAAATGAAAGGCTAAGCCAGAGCTGGCAGGTGGAAAAGGTCAACCGCTTGATGATTCCACTTATATCTTACTATCCTGCTGCTGTTTTACTCGCTGTAGGACATTGTTCGACACAATATTTTTGTTTAATAAACTGTCAAGAATGCCAAATGTCAAATTGTGAATTAAAGTAAGCTTTTTTTACACTAACATGACACTGAAATTTGTTGACAACTATGTTTGGACAGGAAACAAATGGTTGTAGGTAGATGTTTCTACTCAACATACAGTAATACAATGTTCTCTCTGAGGCTAAGTGTTCTCTGCTGCAACAGCACTGCAGTGGTGTGTGTGTGTGTGTGTGTGTGTGTGTGTGTGTGTGTGTGTGTGTG